CTCGCATAGGTACCTGCGATTTGCTACGACGGGCGGGGGCTGCTCGCCCTATGCACCTACGGCTTTACAAAAACACTTCAGGAGTAGGGCAGACAAGACTTCGTGGATTCGGGGCGTGCTGATTTAATTTTAGTACAGATTCGATCAGATCTGATATCTATAGTCAGGTTGCCTTTGCTCCCGCCACAGACTCAAAATTCAGCTTTCACATCGTATAATTTTTTCTCAGAAGGATTAGAACCCAGAGCCGTAAAGTCAGCCGTAATATAAAATGTATCATTTTCCATACTTACGTATTTTAGGTTATAAAAGTTTTCATTTATTTTTTCGATAACGGTGCATTGCCTTTTAATGTGAGTGGTATTATTATAATCGGGGACCAAATCTCTACCAAATAAAACACCTATCTCCCCCAAATTCCTGCCAAACGATTCTAAATCCAACCCCGGTATAATTGCACAAAATGCTTCGCAGAACATTTTACCGGAAAAGTCAAAAAGTCGCTACATATCTACATACGACGAATTTATTGCTTGGAGAGAAGAGAAAAAGCAAATCGTTTTTCAGAAAATGTTATGTTGGCATACTTCTCCGAACTCTCAGAAAAATTAAAAACTTCTACGTTATGGTCGAGGTTTTCGATGATAAAAAGTATTCTGAAAATAAGGAACAACGTGGATATTAGTAAATACCCAAAACTAAATGTTTTCTTAAAACGACAATCAGACGGTTTTACAACTAAAAAGTCGAAAATATTTACATCGAATGAAGTGGAAAGGTTTTTGAACGAATCTCCCGATGAACGTTATTTAGCCACAAGGGTAATTTATTAATAAATACTTATATTTTTCCTTAGTATTCAGTTTACGAAATCGCAAAATACAGTCAATATATTATTTAAAAAAATATTAATCACATCCTTTTTTGTTGTTGTCCAATAAAAACCCGCGTTAAAGAACATATAGCTGATGTGAAGAATCGACGCTCCGGGAAGTCTGCAGTCTGTGAACACGTACAGGATCGCCCCCGTCACTACATCAGATTTGATAGACCGCAGATCCTCGCTAAAGAACACCGATTCCTTCCAAGGATGATTCGCGAGGCTATTGAAATCAAAAAACATCCTAATTTCAATAGAGAAGATGGCTGGGTGCTACCATCTGCTTGGGATCCTATAATGAATAAAATTAAATCCCAACCCAAGCATACAACTGCAAGGCTTCAAGATACCATAAGTTCATACTGCATAGATCGGAACAAATGTTAAATTTTAATCATTTTTAGTAGATATATACTTAAATTGATTTAAAACTAGATTCCCAGAAATATTACTGACTTGCCTTTAAATTAATTCAAGGCGTATGTAAAAAGATTCTTCTGAAGGATTATATTGTAATTAGATGTTAATTTTAACGTTAAGAATACGCGAACATAAATTGCTTACTGTGACTTTATTGACTTGTCGCTTTTATAATATTTAATAAGGTTAAATTGTGAATTGTTGGGAGAAAATAGTTTTCGACACGACGATGTAGCCTTTTGGACTCCAAAAAAAGATTGATTTTGATAAAAAATATTTTGACTTTGATGAAATTAGGTTTAAAATTAAATGAAAATAATAATTAAAATTACAATATTTACAATTAATATTAATTATATACAACATAAAAAAGAAACAATAATGTAGAAAAACTAACACTAAAAATTTAAATTGTCAAAAAGTCCTGCTCCCCGTGGTATAGTGCCAAGAATGGTGGCTGCGTTTCCTCGCTGAATAGCTATACTAAGCCTTTGAGCGAGGAAAGAACCAGCCCTCTTATCACCAGCAGCGATGACCAGCCGTGGATACAGTTCCTTTAAGAACTTTTTTTGACTTTCACTTTGAGTTACTTTCTTCGACTAGGTCATCATTCTTATCCTCAATTTAAAAACTGCTCACCGCTGGTTGTAACTTGAAAAGATTTGAAGTATACCACGTTGGACTGTTGATATCTCACATGTAGGACGTTACTCTTCAAACTATAGTGGACTATCCAAAATATAGTTTAAACTAATGTTACACACAGCCTATTAAGTTTCAACTCGTGGGCATAGGTCTCGTCATATTTTGAGAAGGTTCTAGAGCAAGAAAATGCTCATCCAATGCATATTGACACTTGTCGTCGCGATATATGTATGTATTTTTAATTTCTCAGACATGTGGTATCCTCATCATGTTTACTTCACCACCGAGCACATAGTAAATCAGTACCTACTTAGCATTGCAAACAAAAATATCGCTTAAGTTCTGAGCTATACAAGGATCCTGAAATATATATATATATATATATATATATATATATATATATATAATGAAACCTGATTAATTGGGATCTCAAGTAACCAAGGATTTTGTACCATTTAAGGAGGTTTTCATTTATTCAGTTTTCCAATTATCCGGCCCTCGCTTATAAAGGTGAAAATGTAATGAAAGTGCGTATTTTTGGTGTTATGACTTATGAATTAAGTGTAGGTATGTATTTATTGTTTAAAAAAAACAATACAATACAGTAAAGTTTATATATAACTTAAAGTAATCGGCTATGTTTGTTTATATTTGCTTGCTAGTTGTTTGAACCTGTTCCTCGATAGAAAAAAATTGGATAAAAAATACTAGAATTATCAATATTTGACATCTCAAAATACTTGTGTAAAGTTTCTAAAGCTTCCACTGCCTCACGTTTTGAAATTTTTACTGTCTCTTCACATTCATCTTCTACTTCTTCTTCTATGTCCAAAGAAGAATACGTCGAAACGATATCATCATCATCGAGCTCTTCTGAAATTAGTACAGACAAACAAATCACGTGCGAATGAAATTAAAATTTTTGTAAACAATCGTGTCGAAACCTGTTCCAAACTTATAAATTGTCTCACTTATAAACGGAATTGAGCTCTGGAGTCCCAATTATAGAGATATACATCGAAAAAATCCTAGAAATCAAATCTCATTTAACCAGGTTTGAAAAGTCCCATTAAGGCTTTCGTCTAGCTTTGCTGTTTTACATTCCCAGCCATTAGAGGGGGCGCTCTCCCCCATACGTTCGAGATCACAGGTAAAGGTTGCTCTACTTCATAAAATATATAACTTCTTAATTTTTATCCAAAAATATTCCTTTTACTTTTGTCGTGGTAGTACAATTTTTTACCTTTAAACGACATTTATGTAATATATAATATATAATATTACATAAAAGTCGTTTTAGTAATGTTTATACGGGGTGTAGGTTTAAAAAGGGTATATACAACCGAAGGAAAATAAAAACTGCCTCTTCATACAAATTTCGTATTAAAATTTTGTATTATTTGTAAATGTAAATTTTGTATTAAGAATCAGTCAATTTTTTTCTATTTTCGATTTTTTTGTATTAAATTTGGTTCAGCTCTATGATTCCAGCTTCTCCCTTCATATCGGATGTATATGATTTTTTATACAATCTGTACATACAAATAACGCTTGTACCTATTTTTTTAAAAGAGAAATAGTATAGGGAAGTAACATAGAAGGCAATTTATAAAAAAAGTGAACAAAAAAATAACTGCATACACATATGCTTATTTATTTAGTTTGTTACATCATTAAAAGTAAGGAATTTTTCGAGTGGTGTAATATTGTGTAGGGGTTAACTTTTTTCAGATTTTTTATGTTTTTTATTTTTTATTGCTTCTATAATATATGGGGGGTCTTTTATCGGCATAGAACCTTGAAGGTGCGAATAAATTAATTCTGTTAGCACACAACTGTGATAAAACTTTGTCAAACGGAGCAGCATTGTTGTTTCCAAAACTCTTCACTCATTACTTCAACTCTTGCGTTACCTTTTTTTTACTGACACAAGGATATTTTTTCTTTTTTCTATCCATCTTTTTCTGTTTATTTTTTTTTTTTTTTGTAATAAATTGAAATTATCCAAATATAAAAGTCCAAGTCAATTAATCTAATACTAATATAAACACTTAAAACTAGAACTAATATGACAATTAAATAAAAATAATATATATTTAAGTAGAGCAACTTTCATGATATGCTCCGCACAGTCCATAAGATCTGCGCGAGGGAAAGAGATCAACCTTGCGAGCGAGAAGTAAAGTAAAGTTGAGCAACACTGCACACTTCTGAACGCCGAGAAATCCCAGCGGAACTGAGAGAATTTAAAGGCGTTTCCGGCCTCTAACTCCATTGTGAACTGAGAGAGTTAGAGGCAAACAATTCCTTAGCTATTCTAGATGTGTTAGTAATTCGGAATCCTGATAACACCTTGAGCCATACTGTGTATAGAAAAAAGACCCATACAGATAGATATTTAAACGGTGATTCTCACCACCATCCTTCACAGTTAGCTACCGTGGGTAAATCTTTGTTTCAGAGAGCACGAGGGATCTGTGACAGTAAACACCTGGCTGCAGAGCTCCACCATGTCAAGCAAGTTTTGCATGACAACAAGCTTCGAGTCCCGCGCCTACGTCACAGTGAACGAGTGAAGCCGGCCACAGTCGAACGTGTACCTGCTGTACTGCCATATGTTAGAGGAGTCACGGACAAGATTGGCTACATCTTGAAGCGCGCTTCCATCAAAACATACTTAAAGCCGCTGAAGAAGATTGGTCAGTTTTTATCATCGGTCAAGTGTAATGTCCCTCTGCAAGATGCAGGAGTGTACAAGCTTGATTGTGGATGTGGTCTCTCCTACATAGGACAAACTAAAATATCAATAAAAACCCGCGTTATGGTGCATCCACACATGCCCGGCGGCACGGCCGGCGGACGATCCGGCGGCCAGGCCACCGGCCATCCCCAGCGGCACGCGCGGCTTTTGGTTGCCGGCGGCAGTTTGCTTGCGGCTTCGATACGGAGTGATAGTGTTGTAGTATTCGTGAATAACATAATTTCATATACTTAAACAACGAATTTAACTGGGATGATAGTGCAGTACTTTTACTAATAGAAAAGTATCAAGAAAATGAACTATTGTGGAACCCAAGGCATATGGATTTCAAAAAATCGCAACAAAAGAAATGATGCTATTAGAGATATTGCTTCTGTGTGCAACATAGCATCATCAGAAATTGAGAGAAAACTGAAGAATTTATCCAGCCATTATTTTCGAGAAAAACGCAAATATGAAGAATCTAAAAGGAGTGGATCTGGACGGGAAGATGTTCAATTGCCGAAATGGTTTGCTTATAAGGCGTTATCATTTCTTAATGACAAGAATGCACCGGTACCGACTCTGAACAGCCACACATCTAAAGTAAGTACCCATCAAATTCTTATAATTAAGTAGACTAGTTGGTCGCCCATTGGTCGAAAATCGACCATAATTAATTTAAAATACATTATTTCAATAAGTAATATTTTCGTAAACAGGGGTACAAAGTTTTTGCCTCGCGTATTAATATTAGATACCTACTACCAACTGTACTGTGTTAGGGCAGGTTAAGATAAACCTATCATTTAAACACTACTTTTACAAAGAAATATAAATGTTTATTAACATCGATAAAACTAAAACAATAATGCGCGGTGCGAGTTACGAAAAGACATGCATTCGCCGTAGATGTTAAGCTTGTTTGTAATTATTTATAAGATTTCCTTTTTATTTTCAGTCTTCTCAAGATAATATCACTCCCCAGACTACGCTACCTTCGACAAGGACTTCACGAAAACGAAATATAGAGAGAGATCCTGAAGTTGATGAAGCTTTGCAATTACTGAGGGAGATTACATCTAATGCAAGGCAACGCGATGATGCTGCTATATTTGCAGACTATATAAGTAGCAAGTTGAGGAAGATGGATCGTTACACGATGTGTACAATACAACATCAAATCCAGACTATTGTCTATGAAGCAGAAATGAGATTGGGTTCGATGTATTTTGATAGGACCAATAATACTACTCAGCCTCTTCGTTATCAAAATGTGTCGTGAAGCGACAATTAAAAACTAAATAACCTAACCTAACTACAACAAAACAACCAAAAATAAAATAAATTATTTAAAAATTTGAAAAGATTTACAGTTTCTTTTATAAAAAAAAGGTATGAAGGTGATGATGGGCTGTAATGATGATAGTGATTTACAATATTATTAAAAAAAATAACAAAAATAAAGATACTGCAACGAAGTATGCACAGGCTATGCCTATGATAGGTGCGCAGCGCCTGCTCTAGGTACACGCAGAATCTGGAGAAAGCACATGCAGCGTCTGGAGAAGGTACACGCAGCGCTTGGAGTAGGCCCACGCAACGCCCGGAGCAGATACACGCAGCACCCGGAGTAGACACGCAGCGTCTGGAGTAGGTACACGTGGCGCTTGAAGTAGGCAAACACAACGTCCGGAGTAGACACACACAGCGTCCGGAGTAGACACGCAGCGTCTGGAGTAGGAACACGCAGCGCTTGAGACAAACACGCTCAGCGGCCGAAGATAGCGCGGGCACTAATAGGTGGAGGCGTAGGCGTGGCTAGGCGACGACTTCAGGAGAAGGCTTGCAAGATCCCGAGGCAGTGCGGATAAAGCCTTTAAGAGGTGCTTCTCGTATCAAAGCTGAAGTGAGGACCTCTCTCGGCCGATTCTTCGGCTTTTATCCTTTTTGACGGATCTGGGATAAGAACGAGAAATTATTTGAAATTATTTAAATTAAAAGCAAATTTTTGTAAATGGCCAAGAAGAAAAGAGTATTTTTGAAGTAAAAACATCAGGCCGGTAACGATATTTGAATAAAAATTGCCATGACAACCAGATAAACAACGATGTCAAAACATGTCAAATTTTGGTTTTAGGCTCGTAATAGAGAAACGGCAAGATTTAAGTGAAAAATGAGATATTATTTATATAGGAAAAAAAGGTAGCGCAACAGTGCGCACGAAGCCCGAAATTGCAGAGTTACGGAGAACTAAATAAATGATCGAAAAAGGTAGACTCCATTGACACCGATTTAAAAAGTGCTGATAACGTGAAAATACGAAGTGAAAATGATTTGTTATTGTGTTCTTATGAATTAAAAATATTACAGGATCCTATGGAAATAAAGGTGATGCAAAATATCCAGTTTTGAGGTGAATGTAGAAAATCAAAAACAGAATGGAAAAATAAAAATAAAATAGTGTAAAATGATATGTAAGTATGTATGTAAGCATAACACTACAAATGTTCGTCCAGAATACTTCACAGGCCAACCTACAACATCAGCAATGTCACCGTCGCCCTCAACTACGCGCTCTTACTCTGTTCAATCAGACTATGAAATGCAAAATAGCCCAGATGTCAACACAAGTGACAGTCTGTTACTAGTCTTGGAAAATAATTTAACCGAAAATAGTGTAATAGATTAAAATAAATGTTTATATTTTCGGTTAAATTATTTTATTTTATTAAAAGATTAAAATTATTGATAAGTGTTTCAGATTCCTAAATAAAACATTTATTTGAATAATCACATTTTATTTCTTTCAAACATTATATTTGATATTGCCACGGAAGCTGACCTTGTTCCGATAGAAAATAACATTTTAGCTCATTTCTAATTACACTTGGTTCTACATTTAGAGCGATCTGCGCAATATTTTGTTGCTCTTCGTTTAAAACTCCATCAGTAGTTCTTTCATTTCTCTTCATAAAATTATGCAGATGCACACAAGCCATCACGACAATTTTTGCTTTCTCATTTTGTAAACCAATACGTGAATGCAAAATTCTGAATTTATTAGATAAAATGCCAAACGCGTCTTCTACAACCATGCGCCCGCGACTAATTCTATAATTAAAAACCCTCTCAGGTGATCCTTTTGCATGATGTCCAGAAAATGGTTTTATTATATTCTGTGAGATGGGGAAAGCATCATCACCGATGAAATAAAAAGGTACAGGTGTATTTCTCCCTTGTAATGGAATCGCTTGTGGCAGACTTAAAGTATCATCTCGTATCATATCAAATAAAGTTGAATTTCGTAGAACTCCACCATCAGATATTCTGCCCTGACATCCAAGGTCCACGTATAAAAAGTTATAATTGGCATCGATTAAAGCTAGCAAAACAATACTGAAATATGACTTATAGTTAAAAAACTCGGAACCGCTATTATTTGGACATAGTATACGTATATGTTTCCCATCGAGGGCACCTACGCAATTAGGTACATTCCATTTCTGCAGGAAACTCCGAGCCACTGATAGCCATTCTCCCTGTGTATTCGGCATCTGTAAAATAAAATTGTTTGTGATATTTGTGTGTGTAGTTTTAGTTATATGTATGTAAAATGTGTGTGAAGTTCCAGGTACAGTATAAAATCATAGACATTATAATTCGACTAGGAATAGATACGTCACTTAGGAAACCGTTGTCCTGTGAACTCTCCTGGCAAGAATCTTTTAGTTAAAATGTTTGTGTCTTGTACATGCCATAACTGTGTGAATAATAATAATAATAATAATAATATATAATAATAATAATCTGTTTTGTTTTCTAATATAGGCGTTCGGTTTCTAACTACCTAATGTGTAATGGATATTTGTACTTACCCTTAAATAATTGGATAATGTAGATACCAAAGCTTGACAAACATCTGGAATTATTAAAGAAATAACTTGTGGAGACACTTTAAACAGTGTACCGAGTGAAAAATAAGAGTCTCCTGTAGCCAGGTATCTCAAAGTAATTGCTAGTCGATCGGAAGCTGACACAGCATTTCTCCAGCGGGTGTCAAAGTTAAATTCAATAATATTTCAAATTCTTCACTAGAGATCCTTAGAAAAGTGTTAAATTTCGAACGAATATTTCTTCGGTTTATGTCGTCCTTTCTAAAATCTTCAAGTATGAGGGACACCTTAGGCCTATTTCGTAGACTTGGTCTGACCCAATGTCTTCGTTTGATTTTGCGGTTCTTTTTATGAATAATAACATACAACACTACACTTGCGATACACGCAACTATATTATAGTCCAACATTTTCCAATCCTACGTACACGACTAACTTCGACGAAAGTCACAACACTACTGCGAAAATTGCAACCGCATCTGCCGGCCGCCGGTAAGGCCGGCGGCAAATTTAGCGGCAAGGCAGTCTGAAAGCTAGCGGCAAACCCGGCGGCATAAGCCGGCGGCATTGTGGATACGCCATTAAAGAACATATAGCTGATGTGAAGAATCGACGCTCCGGGAAGTCTGCAGTCTGTGAACACGTACAGGATCGCCCCCGTCACTACATCAGATTTGATAGACCGCAGATCCTCGCTAAAGAACACCGATTCCTTCCAAGGATGGTTCGCGAGGCTATTGAAATCAAAAAACATCCTAATTTCAATAGAGAAGATGGCTGGGTGCTACCATCTGCTTGGGATCCTATAATAAATAAAATTAAATCCCAACCCAAGCATACAACTGCAAGACTTCAAGATACCATAAGTTCATACTGCATAGATTGGAACAAAAGTTAAATTTTAATCTATGGTAACCGCGGTTAACTATGACATATGGACGTTGAACATCTCAGTCCCGCCCGTGACCATGAGTGCTGTAAAGCGTTCGAAACGTCGGGTAATTAAAAAGTTAAATATACGCGATAAATTCCGTAAAAATTAGTATTATTTCAATGCCTAATAGAGCTATTAATTTATACACCAAAATAAAATTAAAAAACTGTTTCAAAAATATCAAATCCTACACTTTAAATAAATGTAAAACATGTTTCAATTTTTCTTTTTTAAATACTACATAAAAATATTTGTTTTGCTGTAAATTTTCGAGAACACCAATTTTTACAAGACTGGGGCCTTAACAGAGGTAAATCGATGAAAAAGTTCCGGTGTAGATTGTTCCGCCTTGTTTTGATGCTACATTTTTATGGCATTGAATTTTCTTTATTTTTAGACATAACAAAATATGTTTATGTTGTTGTTGTTAAAGAAACTCTCACGCCTGTTAGCCTGTTAGTAGGCAGAGACTACGGACTTCCATTTGGCACGATCGAAACAAACCTCTCTCGCTTCTTTCACATCCATATAACCAAATATACGTTTACGTTTTAAATATAACTACATTCTCAGCAAATATGTATATGCATAAACGTTGTATTAACTATAAGCTAACGTCAGTATCAGACACCATTGGGTTTTTTTAAACTTCTACTACCACCAAGTCACTCAGAACGCATTCAAAATACTCACTATCGGTACCCATTTTTTATCGGTATCCATAATTATAATCTTACTTTCAAATTAATCTACTTTATAATTATTATACCTACCTGTTTGTTATCCTAAGGATAAAAACTATGCAGCAGCAGCAGTATGCATTCACACATTGAAATAATGTTTTGTTAACAAATACTGTACCAATACTTATCCGTGTAGTGGCGGTGTAAGAATATCCACTACCCCGTATCCTCCCGTGGGTGTCGTGTGGGAGGCGACAGAGGGAAACTGAGACAGGAGATGGGCAGCAGCATCTTCCTGATAACAGCTCAAAATAATAAAAAACTGCGATTGCCAATCCGCCTGCCAAGCGTGGCAACTATGGCATGATCCTCCTTATGAGAGAATCTGTTCAGCAGTTACTTTTGTGTTTGTGTGTGTGTGTGTGTGTGTGTGTGTGTGTGTGTACTTTTAGGCTGGAACCAATACTGACACAAATTACAAAGTTATCTTCCAATTCTATATTGCGCGCACTCTAAAAACGACGTTCCAAATCTCTAAATGCAAGTTCGTGAAATTTCAGACCAAATATGATTTTGTTACCGTACGGATTATCCAAACGCACAAATTACAAATTAAGCTCAGTACGTTAAGGCACAATAGATTTGATAGCGATATTAAGTCCCATAGTCGCTTGAGCAATCTTTGAAAGAAATGAAAGTTTGACAACCACTGTCATATTTGTAATGGGTCAAGGATTGATAGAATTCATCCGATCTTTACTCGCGCGGGAAA